TCATCGGTCGACTGTTCAAATGGCCCAGTTAGAACTTCGCCCCTTTTAAATCCTCCTCTTGCTAGTCCCCGTCTAGCATGTATTTAGCTAGAAGGTAAACAATTTTCTTTAAGATTTTATTTTTCCTGCTCATCAGCCCCAATAAAGGATAACGAGATTCTCAAAGAAAATGCTACCGAGCTAACCCACTTCTCGTAGGCTGCTTACTGGCTTTTCCCGAATCTCGCTGCTTTTCACTCATTCCTAGGGGTAGAACTCAGGACTTTCCCTCTCCCCTTTTCTTGAATTTTGCATTCACAATAAAAGACATTTCAAGTGATCAGTCGAATGAGGGTGGGGAATAGAAATCACTTAACCAAATGGGTGAATCAAAATCTCTCGTGTGTGCATAGTTTCTGCTAGCAGTATCACCCACAAGAGAAGCGCACGCTGTTGAGGGCAACCCTATGCAAACACTTAAGCATATAGTCTGCATCCGATGAACACTTTTGACTCTTTCCTTTTCACCACCTTGAGGGAAAACAAAAGAAGATTGTCTTAAACGTGTGAGAGTTCACAACATGCATCCCTAACGCCCGCACAAGCCTCCCATCACTCTCCTCGTCACTCCCCTCCCCCAACCAAGTATAAGTACCAGCTAGACCAGCCAACTCTGATGATAACGGAGGGGACTTGATCGCACAGGGCAGGTTAGCAAGACTAAAGGTGCCACGCAAGTCAGTACCCAACCACTCTTCACCAGCAAGCTTACACCATCATGCTCTTTCACTCTCATCTCATTACTCGAGACCACAGTGACTGTGGTCAGAGGTTCCGAAGACAACCCTTGGTAGGCCAGTGACGTCAATGATTAGGCACATTTCATCCCCATTTAATTATTAGGTGCAAAAGCTCCTATTTTACAATCCCTCACTTTTACACTACTCAGGCTGGTCAGGCTCGATGCACGGGTTTACTTTACCAATTTCCCGCACGTTCAATCACTTCCCTCGTTCAATCACTTTCCATTCTGAGAAAAGAGGTTAGAGTGACCATTTGCACAACTTAGCTCAAGAGAAAGCTCATAAGACATCATCAACATTGATCTCGTAACCTTTCATACATATCTCCGAGCCTCACTCTTACTTCCCGCGGCTGTCACTTAGCTCACTAAGCATCTCTATCGTATCGCCTTCTTCCCCTTTTCCTTGGCACCTCAGCTCGGAATCTCCCCTCTGATGAAAACCGAAGGCAACGTTAATCCTCGTACAAAGTCATCCACGAGAAACACTGACAGATACATGGGTGTCTCCACTGACAACCATGTTCTCTCTCTAACTGAAGGAACGCAGTGATGAAGCAACCAAACGCCATGTGAGTTCTTACCTAATGATCTAGTTACCAACCCGTCTATCACTGTAACTCAGTCTCTATCAAGGGTTGGCGTCATCACACGCGACAAAGCTCCTCTCTCTCTGACCATACCAGGCTGGTACGGATGAGACTTACGCGTACCGTCGCGCTCTAGCCCAAGGGAGTCTACAACTTCTTGCTGGGCAAAGTGACGTTATCAAGGACTGCACGACGGCTTCCTTCCGCCACCCTCCTCGAGTTCGCATGTCCCATTCTTCCGCTCATGGTCTCACCGACTCCCAGCGGGCAAAAACAAGATCAGCTGAAGGGATGATAAGAAAACAGCAAAGTCAATGACGCACTATCCCATCTCTCCCGAGATAGTAGACTAGACCGCGAGAGACGAAAGCGAAGGTGACATCAACAACACTACACGCGCAAAACTTCTCCCTGACCTCCTCTCTCCTCTCCTCTCTCGCTCTTCCCTCCTTTCTGTCGACTGTAGTTGGCTCATACCTCACACGAGCGCATAGGCAGTGGTTGTCGTCAATCGCATTGCGCGCGTCCCCCTTAGTACCAGACACACTCCCCCATCTTATTTAATCGCTTGAGTCTCTCTTACTACCCAGCAAAACTCACCCCTCCCTCACTTGCGGTAACTAGTGCCCTCTCGTCGCAAGAACACGAAATCACTGAGTGTCACGGTGAGGAAGAAATCAAAGACGCCACAAAAGAACGAAGCTCATTCCACTATCTCACGTAAAAGCGGCCAAACCCTTTTTACTCCCCCGAATGACCAGGTCTTTCATCCTTGCAGCTAGTAGCGTTTCCATGGATCGCAATTGCGCGCTCTCGCAGCTTGCAGGCCACCGTTGCTTGCTTTCACTGGCTGCGTCACGCGATGCCACAGCCAGAGCAGAGAGGTGACGTCAACAGGAAACTTTTCCACCTTTCCTCCCAAGAATGTTTGACTTCCTACCCTTTTCATAGGCTCACGCACACGCCGTGTAGCTCGTCTCCCACGTGTATTTGCCTCGTGACTCGGCCCTCGTGTCCTGAACTGGCTCCAGGGTCACTCTCTTCTCTCACTCACGCCTTTTCTCCCGACCCTCCTCCATGGCATGAAGGCTCGCTGCGGCTCGGCAGACACTAGATGCCGCGAGCGAACGTGGAAGCAGTGGTTGAAGTCAACCGTATCTAGCAAGATCGCACATTGCTCATCCGCGCTCTTCTCTCTTTCGTCGACCTCCCTTTTCTTCACCCTCTGTCACCTCGCTGTCGCGAGCTTGCCTCAGGTCCACGCTTCACGAGGCCTGCCAGCGGGTGGTTTCGGCGGATCTGGTCCAGTCCATGCCAGGACTGGACATCCGCCTCTCGGTCACTCATCTCGGACTCCCCTTCAGAGTCCCGCTCCCCATGCTGTACCTCCCTGTCAGTAGTCCCAGTCGATGAGTCGTCCTCGTGGTAGGTGACCGTTACCCGCATACTTGCAGTTACCCCATCCCGCCTGCATCTCCGCTCCGCCCTGTTACGAGCCTCGGTAATAGCCGACTGCAGCTTCTCGTCTCTCCTCATCTCCTGTTCCCGTTGGCCACAAACATTAACCTTTAACCTCACCTCCCCTTCAGGCTTACCGTAAACCAGTATGGTCTTCGCTACAGTGCCTTTCCCGTCCTCACGCTCCCACATCCAGGAGTATTTCATGTACCTAGGCCTATAGCCATGTAGACCATCCCGGTCTGCCATAGCCACGCTTTGAATAGCTAGGGTCCCGACTCCAGGTGCACGCGCTCAAATGGCTTCCCACCAGTCTTCACTACTCCAGCCTTCGGCCCCAGACTAACGACACTGGTGCGACGAAATAACTTGCGAGCATGCTCAGACTAAGAACGGCCCAATAGTCCAGCCTTCTCCTTCTTTTTTATAAGCTCACATTGCACTGTGATCCCCATGCTCTGAGCGAAGAACTCAGGATAGCCTCAATTTTTAACTTATCAGTACCCCGTGAATCTTGAAAATAATAAAATGAAATAAAATTAAAATTTAAGGTACAAGAAAAAAAAATGAAGCAGTAGACTAAACACCGCTAGTCAGTGCACACACAGACCTTTCACTTCCCGCCCTTGCTATTTCGTCTCGCCGTGAATATAATCGCGACCTCAAGGTGGTGGTCCCATAACGGGATACTGGCCTGTGTTTTCTTTTCTTCAAAACTAGCCACTACCTTTACTCCTGATGGATACCCACGTCCGATGGCAAGGAGGGGGCTTATGACCTTCCACGGGGGGTGATAATCCTCCTATCGACGCGGCCGCGGGTGCTCCCCTTTTGAGGCCTAATGCCCAGTACCCAGGCAAGCACAAAACACATGGAAATTAGTATGCGAGCAGTCAGTCTGCTAAAACTACTTGCTTACAGTTGAGGTTCAAAAAAAAATGAACCGTTTAGACCTCCAGGGAAGCGTCTGGTTGAAAAGACCAGGAAATTTTTAGTAATAAAATTAATAGCGATAGCAGTAATAATGAAAGGGGTACTAGCCAGGAACGATCTATATTGGCGCGACCCCCTGAAATCGCTAGATCTTCTCAGACCGAATAGAGGCGCATATTTGACGCGTGACCCAGACACGCAACTTCCTTTTCATTCTTTATATTTTATTTTCCTTTTCTTTTTCTTTACCTGATACCTTCTCTGTTTGATGTGACAGACATCCCGTGCATCTAACCCATAACCTGGTGGAGGGGAACTCGGCGCTCTTCCCTATACTCTTGCGTCCCAGGGCGAGCCCGGCGGCTACCGCGGCCACAGGCCGGTAGTGCTCTGCTGTACAGCAGAGCGCCGAGCCTGTGTGGACCGAAGGAAAGCCCTGTGGCGCACCTTTTTGCCAAGGCAGGCACCAACAGGGCTGGTCCACATCAAGGGTACAGCCCGGGTTCTAGGAATCACAGTTAAAGAACACACTGACAGACCACAGGTACCAAGCAGGAACTTGGTACACAGAGGAGGGCCGGGACACCGCGCCCTCCGACAGCGTGCGCAGACAGCTGAGAGAGAGAGAAGGGAGAGAGGTGTTCTGTTTGAGAGTGTGAGGAGGGGCAAGAGGAGCGTTCGTCCAAACATAAGGAGAGAGCGGACCCCTCTTGAGAGATCTACTGACACCCCTTCCTCCAGCATGGCAAACATCACATCTGCCCAATGGCAGGCCATGCTGGATGCAACAGATGAGAACGAGAGACCGTTCTTCCAGAAGCTTTATGATGATGCCGTGCAGAGGGAAAGGGAGGCAGCGGCAGCAGCCAGAGCCGCCAACATTGCTGATCAGGTGGCCCTCCTTCGGATCCCGGAAGCCAATGCTGACCGGTGCCAGGAGGGACTAGCTGCTGCCGTAGCAGCCTTGGTTCGACTGCGGACCTTGGAAGACCTTGAGTCCCGTGTGACAGCACTAGAGCAGCGAAACCAAGAGTTGCAGGCTGAGCTACTCAGACCTCAAACAGTCCCAACTGGCTACCCCCCGCCCTCCTAACCCTCGACCTGCTGCAGTCCCAGTCTCTCAACCCAACACAGTCCTCATGGCAAGGGCAAGTGGAACTGTGACGAGCGCAGGATCCGGGGCCAGCTCCTCGAGCGGCAGCGCCGACAGTTCTGCACTAGTCATAGTCCCAAATGCGGGGACATCAGCCCAAAACGCCACAGTCCTTACTGGCGTTCAGTACAGCGGTCCCATGGTGGACAAGCGGGCGGCTACTCTGCCGTCCAAGTACGACGGGAGAGCAGACATTACCTCTTGGATTAGTTCCATGCGGTCATACTTCGAGGTTATGCGGACACCGCGAGAGGACCGAAGTATGATAATGGGGACTAATACCGAGCCCGCCGTACGGAATCACATTGAGCTCCAACCTGTTGCTGCAGGCTATGAACGAATAGACCTGACTGAATGGTTGAAGGTAACCCCAGTACGCACCCTTGAGGACCTTCTCCTCGCACGGTACCAAGACAAGCATGCTGCGCTCAAGGCTAGGCTGAAGCTTGAGGCCCTCAAGGGTCAAACATGGAGGTCCTCCATGCAAGCTTTGGAACAACACTTGACTGGTATGTTCACCACTCCAGATCTGGGAATGACTAACGTGTCTTGTATGGATGTAGTCATGGGAGTGGCCCCTAAAGAATACCTCTCCCTGTTGGCACTCAAAGACCATACCACCTGGCGAGAGCTCACGACGGATCTAGTCAACCTAGAGGCCAAGGACCTCGCCAGGCGGAAGAAGGCGCCCGTTGCAGGTGGGAAACCACAACGCAAGCGGTTTGGAAGCAGCAACCAGCTTGCACTGCATGATCATCAGGAGGCTGAAGATCAGTCCTATGCGGATGATCTGTCTCTAAATGACGATCTAGAGCCGGACTCCGATATGGGCTGTTCCACTTCAGCCATTGAGTCTGACGTCAACGAAGATGAAAAACTGAATGCTTTTAGAAAGACTGCTTCGAACAAGGGGCCCAACCGTGGTTCGGGTAAGGGAACTGTTGTCCACCTCCCCAAGAATGCAAGGATCCCTGAGAAACCGGAGGATGCATCTACCAAGCCTTGGGAAGCCCTCAGTATCAGTCAGAAAGAATGGGAAAGAAGATCTGAACTGCGCATATGCCTGCATTGTCAAAAGCCTGGGCATGTTGTGCAGGACTGTTTTCGACTGCAGGGGAAACAAGCAAAGGGCGTAGAGGAGTCCTCAACACTCCCTACAACAAGGGAAGTTGGAACATCAGTTGCAGGCCCCTCCGATGAGCCTGAATCTGATCAACAGCCCACTCTTGAAGCCCGGAACGACGTTGAATCCAAGGCTGCTGCAATTCATGTGCTTTACACTGAGCCTTGGGAGGAGTCTAAGGAAGTTGACTTCCACGCTCACATGGAACACTGGCTGCAGCTCAAGCAGCAACGCCGTGTCCAAGGGAGTTTGGAGCTAACCTTCTTTAAACTGCTCATTAACCGCCGTTACATCCGCGTGCTGATTGATAGTGGTTCAACCACTAATTTCTTCTCTCCTAACGGGATTCGTAAGGCGGGCATGGGAATGAAGCAAGTGGGATTGCAGAACCCTTGTCAGACCCAGGTGGGCAACCAAGAGGTTGTCACCTCTACACATGCTGTCAAAGGTGTGCGCGTCACCTTTGACAAGGACCGCACTGTCACACATGAGCTCAACTTCTATGTCATGGACAAGTGTCCGTTCGACGCGGTCATTGGCTTGGGCTGGTTAAAGGCTCATTGCCTAAGGACCATGTGGGCGGACAATCAGTTCGTGGTGCGTGATGCCAAGGGGAACGAGCGTACCGTCCTATTGGATGAGACGCGCGAGTCCCCTGTGACTCTTCTAAGTGCAACCAAATTCTGCAAAGCAGTGCGCAGGCGCAAGGAAATTGAGCATGTACATGTAGCTTTTGTAAAGCCTCTCCATGTGCCTTCTACTTTTGCTGCGTTTTCTACCTCCGTAAGTAACTCTACTTCTACCACCCCTGCTTCTAATGTGAATAATCCTTCTACTTCTAATCCGGTCGTCATTGCTGTAAATTCTCTGTCTAATTTTCTTTCTCCTGATGAGGATGATCCTCCACCGGAAGTCCCAACAAACATTCGCCAACTATTAGATCGATTCCCTGAAGTTTTGGTCGAACCTCTTGGAGTTCCCGAGCGTTCGGTCAAACACAAAATCGAGATAATAGAGGGTAGTGTTCCTCCAAAGAGTTGCGTCTACCGTATGGGACAAGGCGAGTTGGAGGAGTTGAGAAGGCAGATTGATGATATGATTGACCGTGGATGGATTAGGCCTAGTGAGTGTGAGTTCGGTGCACTTGTCATGTTTGTGCCAAAGAAAGGAGGCAAACTCCGGATGTGTATTGACTATCGTGGCCTTAATCGGATCACCAGAAAGAATGCGTACCCTTTGCCTCGCATAGATGATTTGCTAGATGCGGCAGGTGGGTGCAAGGTCTTCTCCAAGATCGACCTCAAATCTGGTTACCACCAGATTGAAGTTGATCCGAGTGATCAGCACAAGACTGCATTCAAAACACGCGATGGGCTGTACGAGTTCATCGTTATGCCTTTCGGTCTTACGAATGCACCGACCACATTTCAGTGCCTCATAGACAAGGTACTTCGCCACCAACTCAACAGGTTTGTGGTTGTGTACCTTGACGATATCCTGATCTTCAGTAAAACCATGGAAGAGCACCTCAAGCACCTTGAGGAAATTCTGCAGGTCCTCAAGGAGGCGCAACTGCACCTCAACTTAGAGAAATCTGAGTTTGGGAGGGACAGCGTCATCTATCTCGGGCATAGGTTGTCTGCAAACGGCCTTGAGCCGGAGGCAACCAAGGTTGAGGTAATCCGAAACTGGCCTCAACCGACAAACGTACGCGAACTGCGTTCTTTCCTCGGTCTGGCCTCCTATTACCGGAAGTTTGTGCCCAAATTTTTTGTCATTGCTCACCCTCTCTCAAGACTAACCAGCAAGAAAGTTGCCTATGCATGGTGTGAGAAGTGTAAGACTGCGTTCCAAGCCTTGAAAGAGGCATTGGTGAGTCATCCTCTGCTTCGCATTGCAGATCCCAACCTCACTTTCGTAGTCACTACGGATGCGAGCCAGTTCGGGATTGGTACAGTGCTGCAATAAGATGATGGTGATGGCCTGCGTCCGCTCGAGTACTACAGCAAACGCATGCTCAGCCACAAGGTAGCTACTTCCACGTATATGCGTGAGCTCTACGCCCTGCGCGAGGCTCTCGCACATTGGAAGCACTACCTCTTGGGTCGCCACTTCAAGGTCTACTCAGATCATCAGACCTTGCAGTGGATTCAGATACAATCTGAACTCTCTCCAACATTGACCCGCTGGTTGCATGACATTGATGTCTACAACTTTGAATTGAAACACAAGAAAGGCTGTTATAACCGGATTGCTGATGCGCTGCCTCGTGGGTTCGTATGACCTCCGAAGGAAACTGAAGGAGGATCTGGTCGAACACACCGCCAAGGATCCGGACCTTAGTCCCATCCTTGAGCAGCTCAAGGCTGACCCGAACAGTCAGCTTGATTTTCATGAGTGCGAGGGTCTTGTATTCCGCCGGTATGGGAAGTTTGATCGCTTATGTGTACCCAACCATGAGCCTCTCCGAACGCATTTCTTGGATCTGGCACATGGTCGGAGTGGAAATTTCGGCGTTGAGAAGACCTATGAAACTCTTCTGCAGCAGTTTGACTGGCCCGGAATGAAAGGATCTGCTCAGAATTTATTGTTGAATGTCAGGTATGTCAAAGAACCAAGGTCCACAGGCATAAGCCTTATGGCCTGATGAGACCCCTCCCCATTCCTGATGGACCCGGTGAGTCGATTTCCATCGACTTCACGGACATGGGAAAGGTGAGTGAGGCAGGAAATTCACAAGTCATGGTCATCGTGGACCGCTTCTCCAAATTTCTGAACTTGATTCCTTTCCCTCCCTATGCCCCAACTGAACTTGTCATCGAAGAATTCCATCAGCAGTACATTCTGCAGTTGGCGTCCCGAAAACTATTGTGAGTGATCGGGACACCAGATTCACCAGCAAAGATTGGAAGGACTTTACCTCTAAAATCTATGACATTAAACTGAACAAGACTTCTGGTCGACACCCCGAAGCCAATGGTTTGGCCGAGGAGATCAACCAGACTGTCATCCAACTACTTTGCGCATTGATTGTTCCAGATCAGAACATGTGGGACAAGGAGCTGCACAAAGTGAAGGGACTGTATAACAACTCCATCCACTCTGCAACTGGCGTGACACCAAACCAGTTGCAATATGGATGGCCGATGCGTAATCCCCTCTCCTATCTGTTCCCTGCACGGTCACCTGGTCTGATGCCCGGCATGCCTGGCTACAATGCCAAGTACGCACGCTTGCTCAAAGTTGTTATTGCAGCCATGAACAAACGCCAACATGCCATGATCAAACATGCTAACAAGTTGCGCAAAGAAGAAAAATTCAAAGTAGGGGATTATGTTTGGGTTAAAATGTCTGAGTTTTCCGATGAAGAGGGCATATCACGAAAACTCCTTCCATTGTACTATGGCCCTTGGCAGATTCTCAAGGTGATTGGGGATGATTTTGGTCCTTCATACGTGATTAACGTGCCCCCTCATCTGCGCACGTATCCGGTCTTTCATGCGTCCAAACTGTTTCCACATATTGATGATGAGACGTTTCCCTTCCGAGACCCTATGATACCTCGCCCTATCGACGACGGCCATGAGATAGACAGAATCATTTTTCACGAGGGAAGAGGGAGGAACAGACAGTACAAGGTTCACTTCCTCTATCACCCGTTGACTGAGTTCTTCTGGATCGACCGAAAAGAGCTGCTAAAGAGTGTTCCCCGTGTTGTGAACGCTTATGAACGACAAATCACTTAGGGACAGACTGCTAAATTTGTTGCGACCATGACTCCTCACGGACTTACCAAGTCTCCCCTTCTGATTTATTCTTATGATGCATTTTGTGCCAACTCTGAATGAGTTACTCGCTCAAAGGGACCTCGCTCTTGAGAGGGGGGTAATGTAATGACCCGCCAAAAACACAGACTGAGAACACTGTTGATTTATGGGATTTGCCGCTGGAATGAATGCCTTGCTGAAATTCCCGCATTCTGCTGTGATTTCCATGTCTGTGTGTGTGCGTGCCTGCTGGTT